AACAATTCGTCAAGTCTCCAGTTACAATCCAGCTAGTCCTCAAGTCATCAGCAGCCAGCCAACTAGCCCACAAGTCATCAGCAAGAAGCGAATAAACCGTCAAGTCATCAGAATCCAGCCAAAAAGCCCTGAAGTCATAAGCACCAACCAAATAGCCTTAGAGTCATCAGAAGCAAGCCAACTAGCCCTGAAGTCATCAACAGGAAGCCAACTAGCCCTAAAGTCATCAGCAGTAAGCCCACAAGCCATCAATTTATTAGAAGCAAGCCAACAAGCTCTAAAAACTAAAGTGGCGAGTCATGAAATTTTTGGACCATTTGTGACAAGCTAATTACTCTACTATTTATTAGCAGCAAGCCAACTAGCCCTAAAGTCAGCAGAAGCCAGCGAACTAGCTCTCTAGTTTTCAGCAGCCAGCCGACTAGCCCTCAATCATCAGCAGCCAGTCAACAAGCTCTCAAGTCATCAACAGGCAGTGAACAAGCCCTCAAGTCATCAGAAGCCAGTCAACTAAAATTTAAGTCACGCAAGACAAGTCCAATAATCTAACAATATTAGTATTAATAAGCTAAATAATCTTTTATTTACTAGTAGCGAGCAAACAAACCGTCAAGTCTCAAGTATCAAGCCAACTAGCACTTAAGTCATCAGCAGCCAGCCAACTAGCCCTCAAGTCATCATCAGCAAACTAACTGGCCCTCCAGTTATCAGCAGCCAGCCAACTAGCTCCATGTCATCAACAGGCAGCGAAAAAGCCTTCAAGTCACACGTGGCAAGTCAAATAATCTTGTCTTGAAATGATTTTCTGTATTAAAAAAAATATTTAAGTTTGCATTCTAATTTTACGTACAAGTGTTAGGATACAGAAATACGTATACGTATGACAGTTTATAAATATAAAATATAAAGAGCAGCAGTAAAATAAAATAAATAGCACACTTATGTAGAATAATATATTTTTTGACTTTTCAATGTTTCGAATAATTATTAAACCTCTTTTAAAAAATTACGAGTTTGAATTATGTGCTTTCAATGTCTTGACAATGTGTAATGTAAAATGTCTCATTCTTTGTATATTTTATGTTTACTCTATCAACGTGTCTGTTGTTGTAAAAGATTTAAAAAAACGAGAACTTGCCATCATAGGCATGGCCATAAAGATTTTACCTTAGAGAGGTCGGAGGCCAAAACTAGAATTATACTTTTGAAACATTGAATTGAATTATCCACAAAAAGATTTAAAAGATCAATTATTTTTTTCAGTTCAAGTAACTCCATACCACGTGACCAGTTTCATTTTAACGGGTCGTAGTTTTGTTTTTAAAAAATTAATCATCATTCCACCAAACGCAGCTTGTTAGGTTCTTAAAGATTTTTGTTTTACAAATATGGGTCAGATCACACATATCTCTTTAAAATCCAGTTATTAAACAAATAATTTACAAAAAAAGCCCGAGTTATTTCGAGGGCTAGATTTATTTACTTTAACAGCTCAGAGGAGGGGGTGGGGGGGGGGGGTTGGACCTTAAGGGAACCGTGGACTTGTCCACCTTGGTTACGTCACTAACAAACTGGTTTTATGACAGTATGTGTACAACAAAGAGTTTTCAAACGTGGTAAAGTGTCGTCCATCAAGTGAGTAACAGTAACAAATAAAATGGTGTTAATTTAACAACGAAGATTTTAAGCCTAAACGATTTGACAGCGCAGGTTTATGGTAAATAATGTTTGTTCGTGTGGGTATGTGTGTGGGTGGGGGGGTTGGGAGGGACGGTCATGGGTGAGGGAGGGCAGGTCGTGTTCGCGTGTCTGTGAGGGACGGTCCTGTGCGTGTGTGTGTGGGAGGGACGGTCGTGTTCGCGTGTGTGTATGGGTATGTGTGTGAGGGACGGTCGTGTGTGTGTGGGAAGGACGGTCGTAATTGTGGGAGTGACGGTCGTGTGTGTGTGTGAGGGACGGTCGTGTGTGTGTGGGAGGGACGGTCGGTTGCGTGTGTGTATGGGTATGTGTGTGAGGGACGGTCGTGTGTGTGTGGGAGGGACGGTCGGTTGCGTGTGTGTGAGAGGGAGGGGTGGAGTTCGAGTTTGGGGAGCTTTGTGGGGGGATTGTTTTGCGTGGCGATACAAAGTTCTAAAGGCAAACAGTTGACAGTACATTTATTTATTTTGTTTTTCGATTTCTTTTCGTTGTTTTTTTTTCCAATGCGCAGAAATTTGATCTTAAGCAAAAGCAATCGTGCCTTTAAATCATAATAGTTCAGTTCTATTTCATTTTAAAACACTTTGATTTAATAGAAGCTAATTCATGAAAATAAGTGAGAGTCGAGTTGTCTGAACTTGAATGACATAGTCGTCTCTTGGTTGTCTGTTCATGTTTAGACATTTTTTTTTATATAAGATATTGATTTGTCTATTTATGTTCTGACGTCAGCGCGTATGTAAAATATTGATTTGTCTGGGTAAAAATGTAGAAGATTTCAAAGGTGCTAGTCCTTGAGATATTGTTCTATATATTGTTCTTTGTGTATAGGCTTGTTTGGCAATATCCGACCTGAAAGACCCAGGTGGTGTTTGATTGTCAGTCTGCTTTTGATCAAATTATTGCAGTGCGGGCAGTTTGTAGTTTCAGGGTGTTTTTTCATGTTTGGCCATGACCAAACAAAGTTGGTTTGGCCATGACCTAACACATTTTGTTTTGCCATAACACAGCTTGTTTGGCCATAACACGGTTTGTGTTTTATAAAGAAGTAAGTTAAACCCAGTTTTTCTAAACTGGTTAACAAAGCTAGAATTGTATTATTTCGTTTAATTGTATCTTCATACAATACGAATATTAAGAATTTATGAGATGTATAAACGTAAACATTCAAAGCAGATTTTTTTCTTAAATATAAATTCATAAATTACTGGAAGTGGACATTTCTGAGTCGAGAATGTTCACATATTATGGAAAACATTTGGAAAAAAATCTAAATTAACAGTGATGAGTCTAAATATGTTGGAGGTAAAAGTGATAAAGAGAGAGAGAAAAAAGAGAAAAATGGAGTGAAAGTTATAAATACAATCGTTTATGCACGTTTAAAATACGAATAACGCTTCCATGTTTTGAAGTTAAACATTTTTTTCTCGATATATAGTTTATATAAGAAGAATCTTAGGTCCAGATTTAAGTCCTCGTTGGGGGTGTAGTGTCTTACCGACAATCTTTTCATATAGTCAAATGAATTACGGAGGTCCATGCAAAAAAAGTAGCAAGCCAGCTCAATACCCTAAAAAGCTTGTTGAAAATTCCCATCAGTTTTTCACAAATACAATTGCTATGTTTATATAAAGAAAAAGGCATCTGGTCAGCATCTGGTCAGTCTTAATGACCTTTCGAATGGGGGAGGATGGGTCGTCATTCGCGTTCGTTTTCACCCACTTGTCAGGTCTAATGGGCATGTCAGCCGTGTTCTATTCGCCCGACGCAACAGCCTGCCACATTTCAAGCGATAAATGCCTTAACCAGCACTCAACCACTGCGCTTAATGCATACAAGTGAAGTCAGATCCGGTGATCACTTCCTCTTATAAACAATCATCTATTCTAGTTTAAACACTAACTCACTAAAAATGTAAAGTTTTTTAAATATTACATTTTAATTAAAGTTATTATAAACATACACACTATGAATAATCTGTTTTTAAAAATTTAACAAGCTAAACTAGTTAAGATAAAGCGTGGTCTAGTCGGTAAAGCTCATGGTTGCTAAACCGAAAAGTCTCGAGTTCGAACCCTCGGGCAGATGAGGCTCGTTAGCTGGGGACAGCCACTCTTCTAGGAGAGACAACTCCAAAATCAAACAACTACTGCCATGTAGTTTGTTCTTGGTTGGACAAAGGCTATGGAAGTAAATCCATAAAGAAAAGCAGGCTGAAATCGGAGTCAATGGCCTCAATGGCGCATAACCAGTTGATACGTAATCCTTTATTGTGATGGAAGCATGGTCGAGTCGGCAAAGCTCACGAATGATACATTCAAAAAAAGTCTCGAGTTCAAACCCTCCCAACACTAAAAATTAAGAACGAAGAAGAAGACAAAGAGAACAACATCAAATTAATTATATTTCGTGTTACAATAATTTCATGCATTTTTCGTTGTTCAAAACAGCGTATAGCTTTTTCATTGACGAATCACACATGTTGGTTTCATTAATTGAATGAATGCTCGAATCACATATGCAGCGCAAATGCAATGCATGTTATGCATAGGCATATTACATGAAATTGGATTAATGTTAACATTAGATTTCTATTTTTTTTCATTTACGTTCATACAATAAAAATATAACAACATTAAAAAACATTTTTAAAACAATTGGCTTTTAAAAGAACTGCAAACTATAAAAGTAATTGCTCTTTATAATTAAAACACAGGTCGTTAAAATAAATAAGATATTTCAAACAAGTTTTTTTCAATGCATTTAAAAGCGTAGAATTTAAAAAAAATTCTTTTATTTTAGTAATTTGTTCTAAAATACATCGCCACCTTATTTGACTTAAAATATTTGCTTTAAATCACCTTGAGTAGCTCGCGATTTCTAACACATGGTTATGGCTCTTTTAAAAGCCGGTGAAGACAAAAAGTCTAAGACCTGCATTTAAACAGGCTGATTGATCACCCTCTTGAGATGTATCAATTGTAATCTTCCCTTTCATTGCTGAATATAGAACACCTGGGATCATTTTTTCTTCTAAGTTCTAATTTAAGAGCTAATTAAAAACAAAATTTGATATTGTTGCATTTTGTGGTAGACGAATTTATCCGCAAGATATGAACGAAATTATTGATTTATAAGTGATTCAATACTAAGAGGATTCGCTACTAACGCACAAGCCAACAAACATACATTGTAAATTAAATAAAAGCTTATACGAATAAAATGAGTATATATTATATATAAAATATATCAATACTGAAAAGAAGCAAATATATTATTTTGTGTAAGGAGCATGTGAGTTGCTACATTTTCTTCGGTAAACTAAAAGTTAACATATATTCAGGATAAGCTTGAATATCATTAAAAATGACATATATGCTCTCACTCGAGTTTTTCCCAGAGTCGTACAGCGCATCACAGTCTGGTCGTTTTGGAAGGTATTTTACTTCTTTAGAGGTTTCAATTGATTTCCCGACAAGAACTCGAGCTAGGCAGAGTCTGTGGAGGCCATCTAAGTCTGGTTTGCAATAACATATTGCGTAACTGCTGCTGTTTACAAAATAAATACCTTGCCCATAGATTGTACCTAGAAAAAAAAAATATAGCTGCATAGAACAACGTCAACGATAGCAATCAGCCAAGTTTACAATTAGTTGTTTAAAATAACCCACTGTTTAAGTTATAATAATAAAATATGTGAAAGACTTTTGTTAGTAAACAGATTAGACCAGTGGGAGATTAAATTTAGAGGGATAGGGGCTGTGAGGGCAGCAGCGAAGGGACCACACATTTTGGGAAACTTACATTTTCTTTTACAAATGGATGTAAATTTTAGTTTACATCATAATTGTTGGTTTTTAAAAGCAGACGCATTGTGACAAATGATTGACTCATCTTTTTAAAATGAAGCGGGAGTGATCTCCCCTAAACTTTCTCGAATATTCTATACGGGGGATGGCTAATAGGGAAATAGACATGATTTTTTAATCAATTTTTAAATATTTAACCTTTTAAAAATAGAATAGAATCTCGTAGAAAAAAGGAATGCGCACCAAGTGAACAGCAAACAATGTGTGTATAATAGTGCGGAACATTAGTCTAATATACAAAGACTAGATGAATGGCCCGTTGAGGGAGTAAAATAACGTGCGCTAAGTTGATAGTGTTGTCTTTATCTCTAAACTGGAACCAAAAACAAAAGCTCCACCTAAATCTTAAATTTACTGGAAATAAAAAGTGTAATTAAAAACTGATTATTTTCCTAAATCAGCACTTAAACCGGATCCGAAAATTTAACTTCAAATAAAACATCTAATAACCCCAACATAAATCCTAATACAAACGCTTACTATATATATATATATATGTATATATATATATATATATATATATATATATATATATATATATATATATATATATATATAAAAGTCAACAACTTAATTAGGCGTTTAATTTTTTTGTCTCTATTATCAAGGACGTGATTATTATTGTATATCGTTTTCGGCATTTGATTCTTAATTCTATTTTTTTATTCAACCATCAACGACGCCAATATTTCTTGTATAGACGCTAAAATGTAGACAGTACCATACTACTTTGTCTGGTAACCTTGATCTATACATAGCTACTGCACATTGATACTAAATATAGTCTTAGTTATACCCCTAAACCTTGCACCTACGCTAAAACTTGACAAAAGTCGCATTTATAGTTTCTCTCAGGCAACTCTTCCGATCCAGTCAAGCAACTCTGCAACTTTAACAAGACTATTTTGAAAAAATATTTTAAGATGCTTTGAAATGTTGTTATCTGCTTCAAATTTTTGTACAGTTATGTTTTATAATCAAGCACGATTTTTAAGACACTGTCATTGTAATATCAGAGGTTTAACAATGTTATTCTTGATTTATACTCATCCAGTAATAGAAGTTGTAATTGAAAATTATTCTGCTGTATGTTTTTGCATTTAAGCCTAGTATTTTAATTTCCATTACTAAACAAATTAAAAACACCTCCTAAAACCTAGATATATACTATGTTATAAAAGTTATCCCCACTACACGACCAAGAGATCTAAATAGATCAGGTGGTATTACAGAATATTTACCATTTTTGCCACAGTAGCTTCTGTTAAATCCAAACTTATTAATTTCTTTAATGGCTTCAAAGTCGGTGCCATGGTAGAGCAAACGTTCGTTATTTTGGCCAGGGTTTCTTTTATCTATTTCTCTTTTCTTTATTGAGTATTGTTGAAACAGATATTTGTTTTGGACTCGCTCGATCTATAAAGACATGTAATATTGATATTTATTTTGGTAGTCTACTACTACTACTACTACTACTACTACTACTACTACTACTACTACTACTACTACTACTACTACTACTACGACTACACACACACACATTATCTTTCCCTCAAACAATAAAACCACTTCTTTGTTTTCTTTTATTGTGTACAATCCTTAAGAAAACAAATGAAAGTAAAATATTGTGGATTGTCAAACCATTATGCAAATATAATACAGATTGCATAGATAAATCAGAAGCTAATGTGTGACAACCTCCCACCTAGAAAAAGAAATGTTCTTGTTTAAAATAAATGAATGCCAATAGTCCATTCCAGTCCACACAATGCAATCCCATGTGGTTGTGTTACGTGTTTTTAAATAAGAATAATACCTAACAGTTTAACAACATAATTAAGGATAATGCAAAGATAATAACTGGTTTTTATAAAGTGAATCGGTTGATTTCAGCCCACGTAAGATGTTGGTGGTGTTGTAGACCCAGTTCGCATTGGAGGAGCTTCACTTCGTTCACTTATGCTCTTTTTGTCAGTTTAATTCACTGTCCAGTTACAATTTTAACGTTATATTTTATCCAAAAAATCTAATTGAATCCAAATGTTAGAATACAATGTTTAATAACCATTGCTTAATCTATATCAATGCTTTTCTCTTCGCTGGTTATTGATTTTTTCCTTTCACTTCTCTTTCCACACTTTTCCACGATGCCCGTTAAAATTACTCGCTAAAGATTGTTTTTTCCTCCTTTTAAGAATTTTTCGGAAATGAGTTAAGTAAATATCATAAAATGGGTTCTGCGTGGTCGAGTCGGTAAAGCTCATGGTTGCTAAACCGAAAAGTCGGACACATGAGTCTCGTTAGCTGGGGACAGCGACTCTTCTAAGAGAGACAACTCCAAATTATCAATCAACTACTGCCTTGTAGTTTGTTTTTGGTTGGACAAAGGCTATAAAAGTAAATGCAAAATAAATACAGGTTAAAATCGGTGTCAATGGTTTCAATGGCGCATAACCAGTTGGCACGCATGTAAACTTAATGAAGGGGATCCCTTCCAACACTAAATTAAGAACGAAGAAGAAGAAGTAAAAGATAAAAAAAGCTTCGACGCACAATCAGTTGCAATTGTTTCGGTTATTTTTTTCCCAATAAACTATTAAACCCGTAAATCCGGTTACTCGTAACTCGTGTAGGGGGGTGGAAGCAGGCGTTGTAACTGAAATAGCAATATTAACAGAAAGTGATATTTCAACGCCAAGGGTAGACAAAGGTACAGAAAATAGTCCAAGTAAAGACAAGCAGTCAGACACCAACGTGTTTCGAACCTACCATTCCACACGGCACCTATCGCCTTCGCCTTCCATGCATCAAGTCAGACGTGTAACCGCTTCTACCACTCAGCCCTACAAAAATAAGGCTTTCGTGGCAGACCACTATCATAGCTTGTGCAGGTAGACGCGGGGTGGCTTTGGCCCTTGACCCGAAAGATTTTGCTCTTTTGTCAAAGCAAAGAAAATTTCTATCTGACTCGAAAGCTCGTATTTTAAAAAATCTCGTAAGTCCCGGGTACTCGCATGTCGAGGTAACACTGTATGCCTGCCTATGAATGTATATATGAATGCAATGACTAACATCGGCTTACTTAAGTTTTTTTATCTATTTGGATTTTAGTTCGTCTTAAAAGTAATTTGCCCTAAGTTGATTTGCAGCTTGAATAGCATTTTTCAGATAATTTTTAATTTAATTGTTACACAGGGAAAGGTATTTCTCTATGCTAATAAGATCTAAAGTCTTTCAAATTCTTTTATGTTTGGTACAAGAAAGTAAGCGTTAAATAGAAAAAAAGGTTGACAACAATTTTGGTTGTCATGGAAACTTGAAAAATCCCCCGCCACTATTGTATTTTAAAAACGCTAAGGCTTTTTTTGTTTTTGCACTTACAGCAATATAAAATAAACGGCTTGATTTTCAATGAATATTAAAACTATTTTTTTAGAAAACTTCTCGAAAGAAAAATCGTATCTATTTTAGTATGCAAAAGTTTCAAACTTTGCATATTATTTACCATAAACGTTGCTTGAAAAACAATTGCTGAAAATATGGTAGGATTTGCTTATTAAATAAAAAAAAAACTAGTAGGTTTTTTAGTATTAAAAATTGCGAACTGAGAAAAACAGAAAAAAGTAACGAAAAGTAGGTATCTATAAAATGTATTAAGCCGATTGTAAGCTTTGTGTGTTTCCTGATGTTTGAAAATACGATTATTAAATACATGAGAAATCTATGTTTCTAATGATGCCAAATACAATATGAAGACGGATATAAAACTTTTCGTAGAGAGTTTGTAAGATTGGGGACAAATGATTACTTTGTAATTAATAGAGTCATAAAAATAGTATTTTAAACACTTACACATTTTTTTCTCATTTAAAGTATTTTTCTCTTTATAAAAAAAATGGACAAAGTATTCAAAAGTGCAGGAAACCCATTATGACGAAAGACCAGAATTTGGGTGATTTTTTTATGAGCATATCCTCTTAATAATGAAAATCAAGATTTAACCCTAAATTATATTTGATTGTGTACTTTATACAACTTTCTTATGTCAGACATATTTTTTGTATCATTTGCTTTTTATTTATTTAATTTGTGTATTTCCTAGAGTGATAAACAGTTGGGCCTCAATTGGACGTTGCTGAATTGTGCAATATAATAGTGGATTGGAAGGATGAAGAACGCTCCATCAAAACACTTCCATGCAGGCCATTACGTGATCGAACATTGTAAGTAAAAAACCAAAACACTACCTTCAAAATTGTACCACGTGTATCGTTTGTCTTATAGTTTGTCTCAACTCTTTCATATTCCTCCGAAGAAGATTCCAAAGGTACTACAATAATTTGGTCGTTGACGTCCATGCTATCCCAGTAATCAGGCAACGGTTCTACCAATTAGAGAAATTACAAAACATTAATCATGAGTATATTTGTATGTATCTTTTATAATATTTATTTAGGAGTTGGAACCTATTATTTCTTTGCCCGAGACGCTTGGTGTATTATAATACGAACTGTATTATATAATATCTCGTTTGATCGATACATTTTTTTGTCAATTTTTAAGTTTTGAACTTAACTGTATCGATAAATGTATATATTGAATTATAATTATTATATTACATTAAAAACGGTATACAGCTTAACTTGCTCGTATGTCAATTTTCTCGTATCTCAGAGCAATATTCTCCATTTATTAGTTAACCCATATAAAGCATTCAATGGAATGTTGGGTTTCTCACTCTAGATGGATTATGTTTAATATTATTATTCTCGAAAGATGAAAAAGCCATAAGAATAATTGACGAAGGGGTGAGGGGGGTTATAGTACGGGGTAATGATGAGGTGGGAGTTATTGAAATGATGTACTAGATATCTTTTTACTACTACTAAAAATATTATTTTGTTCAGTAAACATTTTTTACGGACTTGGGTTCAAATGTAAACAATAATTACCTCCCCATGCGTTTTGTTTTATCTGTATACTTTTTCCAGATTCCTTACTTTTTGCTGTTAGGTTCTTTAGGTCAACATCATAGTTTTTATTTTCAATTGCAATGTAACAATGAGTTTGTTTGGAGTTGAAAGCGGACTGCAGTTTCAAATTTATCCTGAATAATGTTTTAATGCTTACTACGATTGTTAAATTGGTCTTAAAAACATTAAAAGTTAAATAAACTATATATATATATATATATATATATATATATATATATATATATATATATATGTGTGTGTGTGTATGTGTATGTGTAAGTGTAAGTAATACATTTTAATGTAGATTTAATACAATAATGATTTTTGTTTTCATTTGAACATTACAGTTTGTTTATTATTTAAATTAATGTATATTTACAGACTAATGAAATCTCGCCACACTCCATTGTCGTTGTATTGCCAAAAAAATGTAGTTTGCACATTATTTAAAAGGCCTTTCATTTGATCAATTTCTATCCGTCTTATTTCATTTTCAATAATCAGACTATTACCAAAGCCTGATACATTAACTTCATTTGTAGATACTTTGACCTGTAACACATTTTCTCTGCCTATTTGTTCAAGTCGTAAAATCTGTATGAAAAACATTCAATTTTGTACCCACCTTAAAGTTACAGCATAATTATCTTAACATGTAAAAATCGCTAAAACATATTATGAAAGTGGCTTTATGATATCTATAATTGATATTGATATACAATTGTATATAAACATTAAAATAATAAAAGAATATTCAAATACATTTTATTAAATCCACGTTATCCTAATAAGACGGATAAGCATGTGTCATTGTTTATCGCAGTAAGTATCCGTCATTTGGATATATGGGTGTAGGACCTTTGAAGAACTGAGTGGAAGTTTTTATTTTTATTTGTAATTTAGACGTATATTTCTGCATCTTACCTTATTTCCACTATTTCTCGAAATATTTTCTTATATTCATTTAAAAAAAAAACTTTTTTAATATCCTAAGCATTTTACATTTACTTGTTTTTTTTTAAAAAAACAAGAAGTCGTTGAAATTAAATGATGCAGCTCATTATTCTGGCGACCAAAACATTTTTTGTTTAGCCAAATTGTAATACTTCTAATATAAAAAAAAACACGAGGCGATTCATCGTAACTCAATAATATGTCCCATAATTTTTTATGAATTTTCAAATTGTGGGTCCATTAAAAACACTAGTTTTAATGCCCATAAATTCCCCCAAAAAATTAAGTGTTTTGAACGGACCCAAATTTTGAAAACTCATAATAAATTATTTTGAAGATATGCACTTCTAATTTTTAGCTGAGTGCCCCAAAATATGGAACAAGATTATGAATGGATTGTTTTTTGGGCCTAAAATATAATATTTTATGGATGGTGGAAAACCTACGAGGAGGTTAATTTTTCAAGATGGCCGCCATTGTCATGGTTACCAAGATTTTTCCACGGATTTTTTCTATTGGAAATACATATGCAGACGTATTTTAATAAAGCTGTAAAGAAATAACTGTGTTTTAACGAGTATTAAAAAAGTTTTTTTTACCGGAGCCTTCCCCCTTAACTCAACTCACAAACGCAATATCCCCGTGTTCTAAACTATTCTAGCCAAACTTCTAAGTTACATCAACTGTGGGTGTATTTGTATATTTGGTCCTTATCATTCTGAGAAAACCATTCAAGTATCGATAACCATAGCACATACGCATCAAATATATTGTATATCATATTAGCTTTTATATTTATACACACCTTAGTTGTGCAGTTTTAAATAAAATTAAAATACAATGAATAGCTACTTGTTACGTTAAATACTTACTTCGTCGGTCGTGAACTGATTTATAACTAAACAAGAAAATGTATCTGTAGTGCATTTACTTCGACATTTTTCAATTAGAGTTTGAATGGCACTAAGTTTATCCTGTTCTTCTTTGTAGGTTATCTCTATGTACGC